TATGCGCAGTGGAGGAGGAGGAGGTGACGTACATCCCAATTATACCTGTAGAATCGTGAGGCCTACGCATAAAGACAAGAGAACAATCGAGTACCATGAGGGTGATACCCGAATAAATACGGTCTGTCTGCTGGGAGGTCTGCCTCCTGTGATGTCTATGATGAGCAACACGAACGAGCAACCTAGTCCGACGCGCCTTTAGAAATCTGCGAGGCGATACGGTCTCGCTATTAATTATCCCGCACGACAAGAGAGAAAAGAACGCACGAAGCAGGGTAGTAATCCGCAAAATATCTCCAAAACTTCAACGAGCGAAACCACGGGCTGATGCGGCCACCATTTTCCGGGCTTTTGTCAATCCACAGTGCCCATACCTGATACATGCATAGAAAGGGCCACAGCGGTGGGTAGGAACTGCGCCATATTGAGCCTGTGCGCAAAGAAAAAAGCACGGTTTGACCGACCATAGGAGGAGAAACACGGCCGTCGCAAGGACGATGGACACAGACCACAAGGCGACCGCGAGCATCTGCAGACGGCGTTTTCGAGGGACCCGGGCAGGAACAAAACTGGAATGCATTGGGTGCTCAGTGCAATACATGATGGCAACACGAACTCGATGTTGGCCTGGAGAGCGGTGGCGACGGGAACCAGGGGCGTCGTTGTAAGCATCGAGAGCTTATTCCTGAGTGACCCCGCCGACAGCGTCCGCGAAGCATTGGAAAGCCGTCGCAAGGACATGGCGGTCTAAACAGAGACGCGTTGACGCGTGCTTTTAGACTTGCGATTGACGTCAATACCCGGACTCGTGATTTTTTCGGAAATTCAGACAAAATCTAATCATTCATGCTACTGTACTATTGGGATGGAGTAAGAAACGTTTTCAAGCATACAGGTCGTCGTCCGCAGTGTCCTCCGTGAACCCAGCATTTCCCGAGCTCGTCCCCGCCGGCGCAGAGCCACCTTCGCCCTCGGGGAACTTGAAGTTGTTCCCGAACCCACGCGACTGCTGCAGGTTCTGCGAGAACATCTCGTAACGCCGGATGTCTTGGTCCGACACAGAGCGGCGCGCGAACTTCATCGCCTCCTCGAAGTGTTCCCTACCCAAGCAACCACATTCAGTTTTTATGAGCATTGTATAGGAGGATAGGACAGACCTAGTGATCTCGGGGACTGGGTCGTCTTCCTCCTCCGCCTCCTCCTCGACCTTCATGTCGTCCTCGCCCGCAGCTTCGTCCTTCTCCCTCTTCTCCCGGGTCCGCCGGATGTCCGCGTCGATGCTCTCGCGAATAGCCAGCTTGGCGGCGCGCTGGCAGATCTCCGTGAGATCGGCACCAGAGAACCCGTGCGTGCTCTTCGCCAAAAAGTCGAGGTTGACCTCGGCGGAGACGGGCGACTTCTTCAAGCACGCTTTGAGGATCGACAACCGCGAGGGCTCGTCCGGCAGGGGGATGTAGATGAGCTGGTCGAGACGACCGGGACGCAGTAGCGCAGAGTCGATCTGGTCGGGCCTGTTGGTCGCGCCGATGATGAACACGTTCTTCTTGGCGTTCATCCCGTCCATCTCCGTGAGGATCTGGTTCAGCACACGGTCACCCGCGCCCCCACCGTCACCGCCTCCGCCGCCACGCGCCTTGGCGATGGAGTCCAACTCATCGAAGAACATGACACATGGTGCCGCCGCCCGTGCCTTGTCAAACACATCGCGCACGTTCGCCTCCGACTCACCGAACCACATCGTGAGCAGTTCAGGGCCCTTCGGGAATCCCGTCAGTAACTGGAGATGTATCACGAAGAAAGAAAGTACCTTGATGGAGATGAAGTTGGCATTGCACTCATTGGCAATGGCTTTGGCAAGCATGGTCTTACCCGTACCCGGAGGGCCGTAGAACAGAACACCCTTTGAGGGCGACATGCCGTACTTGAGGAACTTCTCGGGGTGCTCCACGGGGTACTGCACGGTCTCCTGCAGCTCCTGCTTGACCTTCTCCAGACCACCGACGTCGTCCCACTTGACGGTGGGCACCTCCACGACCGTCTCGCGCAGCGCCGAGGGGTTGGACGTCCCGAGCGCGAAGCGGAAGTTGTCCATGGTGACGCCGAGCGAGTCGAGCACCTCCGCGTCGATGGTGTCCTCGTCGAGGTCAATGAGGTCCATCTTCTCCCGGATCTGCTGCATGGCAGCCTCGGAGCACAGAGAAGCCACGTCCGAACCGACGTATCCGTGAGTGTCGGCAGCAATCTGCGAATCGTTAATTGGGATGTTGCTATAAACGAATGGAAATGTACGTACTTGCTCAAGGTCGACGTCCTCGCCGAGCTTCATGTTCTTCGTGTGGATACGAAGAATCTCGAGACGGCCGGTTGGGTCAGGGATACCGATGTCGACCTCACGATCGAACCGACCGAATCGCCGCAGAGCGGGGTCGATGGAGTTAGGTCGGTTGGTGGCGGCCATGACGACAACATTGGAACGCGCCTTCAGCCCGTCCATGAGCGTGAGGAGCTGAGACACGACACGTCGCTCGACTTCACCGTTGGTCTAGTCACAGACAAGTCAGAACCCGACGTCGAAAGGATGGACGATGCGCGGTACCTTTTCACGTTTGGGCGCGATAGAGTCAATCTCGTCGATAAAGATGATGGCGGGCGAGTTCTTTTCGGCCTCCTCGAATGCTTTCCGCAGATTGCTCTCACTCTCTCCAGCCATCTTGCTCATAATCTCGGGACCGTTGATCAGGAAGAAGAAAGCCCCGGTCTCGTTGGCCACCGCTCGGGCCATGAGAGTTTTACCGGTACCTGGGGGGCCGAACATCAGGATACCGCGAGGGGGCTTGATACCGATGGACTTGAACAGTTGCGGGTGGCGGAGAGGGAGCTCGACCAGTTCGCGGATTTGTGCCATCTGTTTGCGACAACCACCAATATCATCGTAGCCGACGTCGGACAGGCTGGACTCCTCGTCTTCGCGCTTGACTGGGTCGCCCTCTGTTCACCTCGGAGGTCAGGGTAGAGATATCTGGGACAATAGATGGATACTTGCCGGTGTGGATGACAGTATCTTGCGCGACGATGCAGAATTCAGACGGGTCGGTTTCAATGACCTTGAACTCGACTGTCCGCATGCCTCCGCGCACAAGGAAGGTGTCGCCCTTGCGGACGGGTCGGTACGCTGCATAGAAGTAAGCAGGTGCCCAAAGGAATTAATGACGACGCGTACCCTCGAGGAAATAAGGCTTGAGGTAGACGTCGAAAATGTTGCCGCTCAGACCTTCGATGGAGTCGTCGAACGGCAGAATGTGTACGCGCTTGCCGTATTTTATGTCGAGACACGGGTGGACGCCGACAAGGTCACCGAGCTTTACACGCAGGTTGTTGCGGGCGACTTTGTTTACCTGGATGCGTCCCTCCTCGACGTCATCCGAAGAAAGGCAGATAAGGACGGTGTCGCGCCGTTTCTTTCCTCTGAAATCGACAAGTAAGTACACGTCGATATGACGGGAAATTAAAATCTTACCGGACGATGATCGTGTCGCCACGGAAGAGGCCCAGGAGCTCCATGGTTGCGGGATTCAGAGTTGCGACTGAAGTCAAGTGAGGGTGAGTGTTGTCTCTACTGAAAAAAACAGACAGTGTACATACCAGAGTTGTCATCCGTCGCTGCCTCATCGACCAAAAGCCGATTTGGCCTGAAGACGAATCAATATAGGATGTGAGCGTGCAGACTGGAACACGTACGATTTCTTGGGCCTGAGGATTGCGGTGGAAACATCATTCGGGCCTGGTTGGGGAGGTGCACCGCTGGGGTCTGCCATTGTGTATGAGAGTCAGAAAGAAAGAGACCGGTTTAAGGCCAGGCGACGCGCGTCGGTCTCAAATAAGATCAAATAGCACGTGGCATCCTTCGGGATCCTTCTCTTTCATTCTTTGTTTTGCTACACCCTTATGCCGTGTATTGTAATCCTAATATTGTACAGAAATTCATTCCTCACATCTCCTCATTTAAATCAATCTCCTCCACGGGATAGTCCCCGACTTTCACCTTTTCTGGGCGCACAAACGCGCCATAATTAGGACGGCACGAAAAATAGCGTTCCCCCTTGACTCTGCGACGCGTAAATTTATTGATGGACCGCCAGTTGTGAAAGTGAGAAACTCACGAGCCATCGTTCTTGCCCATGGGTTCGTCGTATTCGATGCCAACCCAAACGCCTTCGCTAGTCCCGAAGCTCGTGGTGCCGACGAAGCGCACCGTCCCGCGCTTGCTCAGCCCGGGCTCGGTGGACTCTACCTCGCATCGCGCGCCGGCATCGATCTTCACCTCGACGGGTGGCTTCGAAGATGTCTCATCTTTCGGCGCGAACCGTCCTACTTTATTCCGCTGCTTGTACGCCAGCACAGTATCTGCACTCATCATTAGCCTTCTCGCGAATTGCAGGGAAAATGATTTACCCGTGCGCTCTGCATACGCCGTGTCGCTGAGCTCGAATTTCTCGACTTGCGTCACATCGGTCAGTTGCCCCGTCAACGAGGTCGATGGATTCGTGTCGTCCACCTGAACATCGTCGTCTCATTTCAATCTGTGAAATATCGCTACACACCTTGAGGACATGCCAGTCGCGCAAGCCATAGAAGCCCAGCGGCCGCGCGTCGTCTGCCAAGGTCGCAACAAGAGTTGGATCATCCACCGATGTCTGGATCGAGATAGCCTGGTTCGCGACTGGAATGCCAGTTATGAGCTCGAGTTTGTTCTAGAGCAAGCCTCAGTGCCCTCACTGGGTAGCGAGTGGTATTATGCGACCTTGAGCTGCTCCACAGTGATGTGAGGGTCAATGCGCCGCTCAGAGTGAGTATCCAGGGAGACGACAAAAACGTTGAGGGTACCCGACATGATTTGCAGATGATCGTCAAAGGTGACGGCCAGTAAATGATTTGTGGTTCCAGACGAAGAAAATGCGGATGGATCACGTCATGTACTCTCAAATTTGCAACTTGACATGTCTTGACTAGTATATCGGTTCAGTACACCCGCTTGTCATTTATGTATTTGATTGAGCGCGGGAGAGCAGGGTTCGACTCCCTGGTCGAGAGTTTTTTTTTTGTCTTTTTGTCCCGTATCCAACTTTATTTCCTTGCCGTAATTTCCAGTCCCCCAAAAGAATGTCGAGCTCAAGTTCATCTCGACAACACGCCGGCGGCGCGTGAGCTGTTGGGATTTGATTTATTTATAACAGTCGGAAACCGGAAACCTACCTCCAGGAAGAATTACTTACCCGTCATTCGAACTGAAGAGATCGGCACGGGATTGTACTTATGCTTGGTTTCATTTAATAAGCTCTAGCTCATGTTTCCGACCCAGAACATAATAACAAGCATAGAATTCACTCGACCATACTAAAGGTAACATAAGACGTGCATGTGTGCCGCTACCACTAAGCATTCGTCAAATACGAGCAAGAAGTCAACACTCCGTCATATGGCCCGTCATGGTCGGCGATAGAGCCGTCCAGGACACTGGGAACAGCTCCAGTCGAGCATAGGTTGCTCTCGTTATCCTGCCCTGCGCAGATATCCCGGATGAGCACGCTATTTTTTTTCAAAGTTCAATTTGAGGAAGCTGACCTGGGCATGAATCCCACTCTCCGGATTCTTGAATGTGGACCTCCCCAGAGGGATGATGATAGTCCAAGTCCATGCCTGTGGAAACGTGGTAAGGATTGATGATATTTGGAAGGTCACCAACCTGGGATGATGGGCACAACGTCCTTGCTGTTTGCTCACATTCAGAATAAATCGCCACAACAGTTGAGAGATCATTACCGATTATTGATGTGCGTCAAGGATAAATGGGCATCGACGTAGTTGGCGAATGCCTGGTTTCCGACCTGGGTTTGGTCGAAGCAAGATCGTAACGGGACACGGAGGGACATACCCTCGGCAACCCATAAGCGACCACGTTGACCTTCACCGTGGCCGATAGGTGCAGGGGAAGGTAAACACCGTCCAAAAGAGCAATTGCTCCTCCTAAAATGTGGGATAAGGCTCTGTCTACGAACTAAAGTCCCTTTCGAACCCTGCCAAAGATTATTCAACCTGCATGTTGAGTCCACGATATGTGACAACTCACCAAAGAATGCGCGACCGCGGTGATAGTGCTGGTATCATATTCGGCCAAAGCTGTCTTCACGGCAGCCAGAACCAATGTTGCGGTTCTCGGAACATGCATTACTGGGCGCACGCAATATAATAAATATTAGTTGAACTCACCTGGCGTGTTCATCGGCAAAACCGCAGTGGACACTGATGTTGGGGTCGATACCAGGAAAGAGAACAGGGTCGAGGGGTGTTTGTATGATGGCAGCGTCCTCGATTATGGACACACTATAGGAGGATGGTGTTGAATGTTCGGCAGAAAAAATTACATTCATGGCATACACATCACTGAACTGAGTTCCTTGATGAGATACAATGACCCTCTGGGGTCGATTCGAATGTGTTCATATACAGTGTCCGTAAATAAGCACCTTGAGTGACGGCGAATATCCAACAAACCCTATGAAATTCTGGCATTCCGTGGAAATACAGACACAAGCTCAGAGACTCACAGTACTGAGAAAACTCCCCGTCTCCTCCCGAGGCAACCGGTTTGAAATCCGCATTGCCCAAACAGTTCACTGTGTCACCGTCAATCAACAACGAAATTCAACCACGTTGTTCGACACCTCCACAAGACCACGAGAGAGTAAAATTGGCCGGGCAGTATCCGGTGGCGGCGAAATAGGTGTACGGACGATACGTTGCAACCTGGGAGAGAGACAGAGGGACAATGGTTTGATTCGCACTGGACAGCGGAGTAGAATGCCCAAGCACGACGACGAACGCGACCAGAGCGAGAATTAAAAGTCCAACTTGACCGAGGCGCACCATCGTTGGGGAACGAGTGGACAAACACTAGTGGTTCAGTCGAACGCAAGGACCTCAAAGTGTTCTTAAGCCTTTCGTTCCGGCGCGTGGGCTTCACGGCCCGCACACCCCGTACACAGGCCACTGGGAGTTTTTGCTTGAAGAACACCAACCCATGTGCACTGGCGGTGTGCAGCCGGCTGTAGGGCCTTAGCAAAGATAATCAACTGCCTTACCGGCCAATGGAAGCCTCCCCGGTATAGAACACAAAAAACGTGATAGTCATTATCGTACCCAAATAAGGAAGTTTGCCCCCAGTAGCCCGAACTGCGCAAGATTATCTCTACGCCGAAACGTACGGCGCACATACGTTCGGATCATTGACCTCCGATGGGTCTTTGGTGAGATATCCGAGTCGGACGCCTTCCAAATACGACCTGCGCAATTAATCAGGAGGCCGGTTCGACGTTTCAACTGATTGAACTACCACTGCCGCGATAAATTCCCCGCGAGGGCGCTCATCTCTACCTTGAAATTCCAAAACTGGTCGCAGAATGAACTCGAGATGCGGGGATAATACTTGATTGGAACGTACAAGCCAACCAGCGCCCTGGCTGTACGCGAGCTTTTGCGCGTCTGCCCATTGAAACAAAAATGCGTCTGTCGCGTTGAATTGCGTGGGGAGACCCCACTCTGACAATGACCTGTAGGTTTGGGTTCGATTGACCGGAGACGTGGCGCACCTCCGAACCACAGCGGACTATCGCCTAATGCTGCGTCTGCTTGAATACGATTGAGATCTGAGATTATTATTATTACTACAGTTCCGCAAGGTATATGTTCGACCTACTGCATATGCTTGTGAGATATGCATTGGGGTTTGGATCAGCAACGCCCTGTATTAAATCAGCGGCGAATCCGGATGAAAATCGAGAAGTTGTTCACCCCGAAACTGCGAGAAGGTTATATTCTGAAAGTATGGGAAAAGGTATGTACTTGCCTGTAATACAAGTGGTTATCGTATCCTAATCATAAACGAAATTCAATCCCAGTTCGGTCACGACGTTGAATTTGTACCTTGTGGGCCAATTGCAGCATCAGCAGGATTGGGAGGGTTGGTGTTCTGCCAATTAACGTCCATGAAACTGGAATCCAGGTCAATTCGGATCCACAGGGATCAAAAGAAGATACTGTACTTCGTGATTAGCTGTTCCTTCCTACGAGATAAACCGCTGATTCCGAGTTCCAAAAGGATCGGGACGGTATCCTCCAAAACAGACCGGACTTCCGCGGTAAAGATGGCAGTTTCATTGACATTGGGTAGCATCGCCGTAAAGTTCCCATTGGCAGGTGCAGGCATAGCACCAAATCCAGGCGTAGGAACTCCTAGTAGGAATTCCGTGGCCCGAACGACCCTTACGAAGTCCTTTTGAAATTCGCCGTAGTTGGGGGTATCGGTCGCGTTCATTTCTTCTTCATTCACGGCCTCAATTGCGACCGCGTTAGCAAATGCCGGGTCCACATGCGACAGGACGGTCATAACGGACGTCCAGATTAAAGCCCGGTGATAGTTGTACGAAGTCTGCGTGCAGGCTGTAAAAATCGTTAAATCGGACATAACTTTTAATTGCTTACGTAGAACTCGACGTCGGTTGTGCACCTGGAAAAGTCATTATTATATTATCCACACTTGTGATTTGGGGAGGACAGACCTTCCTGTAAACATTTGGTTCGGCGTCTGGACACCTTGAAGGTGTTTGCGAAGCATATACTCAAGGCAGAGAAACACAGACCTGGGAGAGCATGATGGTCGAGGATGGCGACAATACCGGCATTCTGGAGAAGCTGAAGCCCTCGACGCTGCGTGCGCAATTATAGACCACGACGGAATAAGGAATAATTTTGCTGACCAGTTGTGCGAGTCCGCCTCGCGGATAAAATTCGGTTTGACGATCGACCAGAGGTTCCACGATCCAGTACCCGAGCTGCATTTTGTGAGAAAGGAAATTCACCGTGATACTTACCACTTACAGGAATTCGAACGGTGTTGATTCCCACGTCAACCAAAGCATCGACGTCCGTTTGGTTGAACCAGGAAAGCCTGGGCGCTTTAATGAGAATCCTGAGCCACCATGTCTGCGCGAGGATCTTACCAATGACCAGCAAAGATTTGGTCCACCGTCTTCGGATATGCCTGCGCAAACGCGCTGTGAAAAAGAAAAATTCAAAAAGAAATGCAGACAAGAAAGTACTGATAAATCACAATTCAGTTGCAATGCATTCACTACACACGTCACACATTTGGCCACCCATGTCAAGCCATTCTGCGCCACATGAGAGTCGTTGAACGAGAACCTCCATTTGAACATACCTTGGGGTAGCATCCACGACTCCAAAACCAGCCTTTCGACGAGTTAATCGGTAATGCACGCGATCCTATGCGGGACAGCGCACCAGGACCCTAAGTTAACACCATAAATTTTGCTAGGCAACCCCGGCAATCCAGCAAGAGCAGCGGGAAGAAACCAGGACAAAAAAGGAATCACCAGGGAGATGACAGCAGTAGTGCGCATTGTCGGGGCCCAAAGAAGTGCGCCGGCTCTGAGTTTTATGCCAGCTCATGTACCGCCGTCTACGGACCCTCTATCGCCATCTCAGTCGGGGAGCCAGTGGTCTTCCGAGCAGGTGAGGAGATGAAGCCGTCACGCTGGCAGAAAGAAGTCGGCGGGAGGGGCAAAACACACACTCGGGTTTGCTCTGGGTTTTCTCTCAGGGAAGGTCAGCCGACCGTGTTCCGCGCTTTCTGTGTCACCGAGGAAGATTGAACGCGAAGTCGAAGTTGAAAAATGAGCCACGGGCCACGACCGATCTTAGCCGGCCCGACTATCCGGTTTTCGGCTTCCGCTCCGAATTTGCTCCGAGTCGAACCATGACCTCGCAATCCTAATCCTCATGTATCGCCTCATGAATCGCCCCTGCAGGGACTAGGGATTCATCAGCCCACTTCGCTGGCGAAGATTCAGGCGCTTACGCTTTTTTGTCGAACCATTCTTCCCAATAACCGTTGCGACCTTCTCAAGGACGTCTTTAACCGATAATGCCGCTTGAGCTCGTGATCAACTCACTCCGTCCGTCTGGGCGCCGCAGCGCACGACGGACGTCTCAGGAGACCTCGGATATTGCTCGTG